CCGCTGCAATCGGGTCAATAGGAGGTAAGGTGATATTGTCTACATCATCATCCTTCATCAGGTAAGTCTGAGTTGAATTCTCGTTCTTCGATGGGGAAGCAAGTTGTAACTCATTCACCATCCAGTATCTAATCTCAGCATCTGAGAAAAAGATACCTTCTTCCTCTTCTGACGTAGGGTCACATGTCGGAGTCCTAGATCTGTAGGAAGATCTATGAGAGGACTGTGGTGAACGGACTGACGAGTGGCTAGTGTAAGGAGACCTTGGAGGAGACATCCTCGGCGAACGCTGGGGACTTCGCGAAGCTCTTCTAGATCTTCTGGGCGAGGTAGATTTGGAGCCACTTAGCCTTTGCGACCTTCGCGAATGTATCGAGTCAGTGTCCGAATCGACATATGAGCGCTTGCTTCGCGAACGACCTCTGTGTTCTACAGGGTGTGGGCTCGGCTGGCGCCCTTCTCCTCCGATGTCCCTCGCGAACTGGAGAGGCTCTAGCTCCTTCGCGAGGCTGCCTGGGACTTCCTTTTGCGAAAAGTGATCGCTACGGCTGGGTTGCCCTTCGCGGAGGCGCGTTTGTGGGCTCTGGGGCCCTACGCGAAGCCAAGGCAGGCTCTGGGGCCCTGTATGACTTATTATGGGTTGGGCTCTGGGGCCTCTGTAAACCGTAACGGTCCTCCATCAGTCTCATGATTTGGTTGACCAGGTCGTCTGGGACGGTCTGCGCTGGCGTTGAGGGTGGCCTCTCTGTGAAAGTGACGGGACCCTCAATCATAAACTCTGACGTCAGCGTAGGCATCTCTGGTTGCGTGTTGATCTGCGCTGTAGTGACGGTAGCAGATACTGGACGTTTCTTATGACGTACATCTGGAATGATAATCGGAACGTCATCATCATATAAACATAATTCTGAGACAGGTAGAATATCGGAGGCAAAATTATTTGTAGCTTTCGTGAGATTTCCCTTTGACGGCTGTGGACCTGGGGTTCGAAGCGTACGTTGAGATGATGTGGACGCTTTCCTAGTCTTAGACTGTGAAGACGGAATGTCTTGAGATGCAGATCGCTTCTTGGACATAGCGGACTGCGTCCCACGCTTATCCCCCGAGGGAAACTCAGGCAGGCCACCAGCCGGTGGCGGGTCTTCAGTCAACAGTTGACAGGGTATATTAGCTTCCAATCTATTAGCCATGACTGAAGATTGTTTGCGAGATTTATCTGCCTTACATCTCAAAACGGAACATAAATATTTATCAAAGGCAGAAATTGGTAAATTAATACATAATTTACGAGAAACAATAGAACATGGAGTTATGCAACTAGGGCATTTTAAATGTGGATCGGTAGCGAAATAACGTAGTTTACAACCTGTGCAGATTCTCAATAACGTAAACTGCTGAACAAACACGGCGAACCGTGAATAAAACAGCAGAAACACGACTAATAATCAATGCAAGTTGAATAAGGATGCTAGTTACACCTCTATAACTGAATATAAGAGGTACTAAACTAAATATAAATAAAGGATATAGTGTGTCGGGAGACACAGGCGCTCTCACGTCCAGCTCACTGGGCGAAGAAGGAGAGAGTGGGGCACATGGGTTGAGGTGGCGCCCTCGTTCCCTCGCTTGTGGAAGGGAGGTAACTCGTGGTGAGTACTAATTAGTGATTTTTCATTGAAGGGAACTTCAATTGGGAGATACACGTGTTCCACTATGTTCGCAAGAAGAAGACAAGCAATAAGCATGAGTCAGGATAAGGAAAAATATGGCCTTTCTTATGGTTTTAAGACATTTAAATGAAAAAAATGTCAAAAGAATCCTGTTTTTATGTCACTGCTGGGTAGCAACAGATTGACATGAATGATGATGTGAATACTGATCTATATATCACAACTTTCTTCTACAGACAGACATGAATGATGATGTGAATACTGTTCTATATATCACAACTGGGTACATTCATTAAAAGAAATGGCCTACCATTAGAATACAGCACCACAAACTTACGTCATAATACCTGTAATGTGATTTTGTTCGAAAGCATGTTCTCGAAACAATGCCCTATGACGCCTGCATGGCAACACAGTTGTCTGGCTCAGCGAGTGCGTATAAGCTCCGCTCACTGGTGTTTCATCTCTACGAGCTATGTCATTGCATAAGCCTAACGATGTTGAGAGTTTCCAGTAGTTGTATACCAGTGGATGCGCAATGTTTTGCAAGCACCAGTTTGAAATATTTTTCTTTTTTCACTAATTCACTCATATTTACTTGTATTACGGGGTGCTGTGGTGTTATGTTTTGTGTATTATTGTATTTTGCATTTTTTACATTTACATATATATTTTTGTCATTCAGTAATTTGCACCATTATAGAAAGTTTTTTATTAGTATTTTATTTTTCGAAGCGGTAATAATGCATTACACTGGACACGTCAGTCATGTTTGTGCCGGTTCGGTCAATGCATTCTATTTATTTGGATTAATTCAAGAGGTTAGGGTTAGGGCTAGGGCTAGGGTTTAGGGTTAGGTACATGTCCGGTGTAATACGTGAGTACCATTTGTTGTTTTTCCTTCTGCATTTTAATACTGCGTGTTCAGTCAATGCATTCTATTTATTAGGATAATTTCAAGGGATTAGGGTTACGGTTAGGGCTGAGGGTTTAGGGTTAGGGTTAGGGACCTAATCCAATATAATAGGTACATGTCCGGTGTAATACGTAACTACCATTTGTTGTTTCCTTTTGCATTTTAATACTTTTTTTTCACACAAAAACGGGAAACCAAAATCGTCAAAAGTACACTATGAAATGGTTTAATGTAGAAATTTTGGGCTAATGGAAAATTGGCCTGGAATTTGCACTGAAGCCTCTTTCACACGCAACATTTGTTCAGTAATGATTCGAAGGCTAACTCACCCTCGTGCCGTCACTACACATGCTCATGTCTCCCTCGTTCCTTAGTGCGATCCACATTGTCCTTACAGTATTCCCTACATCACTTTTCTGTCACAAAATCACTGATTTATATAAAAGCGCGTCATTCATGCATGCACCGTGAAATCTACGTGTGACGCCTGACGTCAACAACCCTTTTCAGTTGCATATCAGCTCATTCCACGCCACACGTTATCTTGTAGATTACGGAATGGAACGAGTGTGCCAAATGGCATCGGGTCCATTCGGCAGGTGTCCGTAGATTAAAATCACAAGACACCAAGTCTACCCGTAACCTTCGTAATTGTCCGTGACCTATTTGACTCTTTCCGTTCATTTCCGTGACGTCACAGGAATGACTCGATAAATTTGTGCAACAGTGTGAACGTAGCTCAGTCGGTTAGCTGTCAAGCTAACAATCTGAAGGTTGCGTGTTTGCGTTGACGGGTCCTCACAAACTGGTTGCTTGTCTTAATGACACGTGACCTACGGCAGGGATCGTCCTCACGAGAAGTTGTGGTGCTGTATTCTAAAGGTGCTCCAAAGAATGAACTGATCCATACCTTACATAAAAACTAACCCTAACGACCCTAAGGGTTGCCTAAATGTAATAACTGTTTGGTTGGTATCCATGGTACCTAACCTGAATGATGGTAAAGGCAGTGTAGGAAAATTAGCCTGTCCCAACGTCCGAGACGGGTGAATTTTGTGGAGGACGGGTTAAAAAAATATCTAGTCCGTCCTCATGTCGGGTCAATTTTAGCAAACCAATGACATATATATAATGATTATAACCTTTTTGAATATTTACTGCCGAAGGTGTTTTATTTATATTTGGAGGACAGGCTAGATTTTGGCAGGACTGGTAAAAAAATTGACCTGCCAGTCCTGTGGACAGGCTAGATTTTCTACATCTTTCCTACACTGGTAAAGGTGTGCTTGACTGGAAAGGTGATCCAAGGAATAAGATAGGTGTAGACTACAGTAACCCAACTCCAAGGAATAAGATAGGTGTAGACTACAGTAACCCAACTCCAAGGAATAAGATAGGTGTAGACTACAGTAACCCAACTCCAAGGAATATGATAGGTGTAGACTACAGTAACCCAACTCCAAGGTATGATAGGTGTACTACAGTAACCCAACTCCAAACTCCAAGGAATAAGATAGGTGTAGACTACAGTAACCCAACTCCAAGGAATATGATAGGTGTAGACTACAGTAACCCAACTCCAAGGAATAAGATAGGTGTAGACTACAGTAACCCAACTCCAAGGAATAAGATAGGTGTAGACTACAGTAACCCAACTCCAAGGAATAAGGAATAAGATAGGTGTAGACTACAGTAACCCAACTCCAAGGAATAAGATAGGTGTAGACTCCAAGGAATAAGTAGGTGTAGACTACAGTAACCCAACTCCAAGGAATAAGATAGGTGTAGACTACAGTAACCCAACTCCAAGGAATAAGATAGGTGTAGACTACAGTAACCCAACTCCAAGGAATAAGATAGGTGTAGACTACAGTAACCCAACTCCAAGGAATAAGATAGGTGTAGACTACAGTAACCCAACTCCAAATAAGATAGGTGTAATAAGATAGATAGGTGTAGACTACAGTAACCCAACTCCAAGGAATAAGATAGGTGTAGACTACAGTAACCCAACTCCAAGGAATAAGATAGGTGTAGACTACAGTAACACAACTCCAAGGAATATGATAGGTGTAGACTACAGTAACCCAACTCCAAGGAACATGATAGGTGTAGACTACAGTAACCCAACTAACCCTAAGTACCATATTAAAAGTAGGACAGTCTCAGAGTCTGCGGTCCAGTAAGATGCGGCTTGTAAAGCATTCTGCCCACTTGATGAATCGTAAACTATTTATGATTTTAATCATATTTCTACTGCTGGAAGGATCACGTCCGCGTGTTGGTTTCATCCTTCAATAAGCAGTAATGAGGGACGAATCGCGATTCAGCCAAGCAATTCTGCACCCGCACGGACAGAATGTTTAAGTTAAAACAGGAATCACTCCGTGTAAACGACCACTTTCATGTATTACCTGTAGCAAGGCAACGACTGAGAAGTGTCAGTTGATATTTTGCATTATGTTTACTGCTTAGATTCATCAAATTCACCCCAACTTTCCTCAACAAAGTCGCCATGTTTGTAAAGTGGTTCTCGGCTCTCAATGCGCAGCCGTCAATTTGTGGAGGCGGAAGCCTTCGGGGTCAGATAAAATACGGACAACGCTCTGTTTTGCATGGCAAATGTTTTGCGGGGAGGGGGCGGGGTCATCCTTCAGTAATTTAAACCAATCACCTATTCCGCCATATGGAATATTGCTGAGTGCGGCGTAAAACTGTGACGCTCTGAAACTCCATGCGAAATACGACTACGAAAAAGAACCCTTCAGATAAAAGAACGAACGAGTACTTTATTAAATTCCCAAGTAGGTGTGTTACAGATTAAGCACAGTGGTAAGTACACATTATCAGATATATTCTTGTAAATGTAAGTATATAGTCTTAGACAATATAAGAAGCAACACCCCCCCTAAACGGCACGACATGCATGCAGTGAAGCGATCCAAATTAAGAAATCATTTTGAAACTTCGTATGACTTATCCAAAAAGGGACTTGGTAAATACAAGTTCTTTTACCTGCATACATAATTAATTTATTACATTTTTTTGACAGATTTCCTACTAATAGTAGTCTGTAAATTTCAAAGAAGAAGCCTTGCACAGTATATCAAGAAATTGATATTTGCGACAGTTTTGTGACGAGATGCAGGTTCTTATCCCATTAGTTAGACATTGCATGAGGTGGGGTGGTTGCTAAATAAGGACAATCCTACAGTTGTAACGGAACAATCCTCATCAGACATTTGTACTGAGAGAGGTATATTGTGACCGCATTTTATATATGCTGGTGTGCGCAGTTTCTAGCAGAGAGTTTGTTATTTGTGACACAGATGTTTGTGTCAATGAACCTGTGGTAGATCACACGCTCCTCTTCCTGTTGATGTGTGCACAGTGCACGAGAGTCGCATGTAGAGGGGCAAGCGAGCAGAAATACTGCCAAGCAAGAAGGTGACATGTAAAGTAGCTAACAACGGTAAGCATTATCATTTTGACTGCATTTGGGTTACGAAAACTAGAATATACCACGTCGCACCGAGGATGTGCACACCGTCTCGAGACTTGCTCACGGAAGATATATAATGTCACCCAGACCTGCGACATTATACAGTATACATAAGATTTTGATGGTAACAAAAAAGCTCATTAAAATTGAAAAGGAGCCCCAGGGAGACCAGAGATTCAGAACCTGAGGACATCGAGGAACTTGCTTCATTTAGGGCTTTAGCATTGCAGAGACGGCTTGGCAGTAGGGAAAATAATGTGGTTCAGGGACTGTCAGACAGACTAGCACAATATTTCCATTAATATACCTATTCACATAAAACATTTTAAAGGAGGTGCGTCCAGTCACACATAGGTGAGGTGAGGTGAAATTGGGTTTAACGTCCAGTCACACATAGGTGAGGTGAGGTGAAATTGGGTTTAACGTCCAGTCACACATAGGTGAGGTGAGGTGAAATTGGGTTTAACGTCCAGTCACACATAGGTGAGGTGAGGTGAAATTGGGTTTAACGTCCAGTCACACATAGGGCTTACGAGACTCTATTAATTATTAATACATTATAAGTAGATTAATGGTATACACATAATATAACATAATATGGGAGAAAGCAAATTGTAGATAGGACACACTGATAATAACAACAGAGTCATCGACGAAACAACGAAGTAGAAAGACAAAGAATAATAGGAGATTATTAACGTAATCATACAACAGTGTATGAAATATGGCCCGTCCGACCGCCAGAGACGGGTTAGATTTCTGACGGACGATCTAAATTTACAGCTTGCGTGCCCATTCACTTTATCTTGGTGTCTGGCCTGGTTAAATCCATTTTGGGCTGGTAACATTTTGAAGTTAGCAGCCCTGATGTCAGTCTGGGTTTTTGGCTTATTTCATACACTGCATACAAGCATTATTACAATATTTACATATCCTTTCTGCAAGTGGTATAGAAGACATAGTATATCTGCCCGTTTCAACAAACAATGGTAAAATTCCACACCTAAATTTAGCTAACATACGACGATGGTCTCGAAAAATAACATTTTGTTACATAACATTCAACAGCATGGGAGACCTTATACTTTCTGTAAGTTCGTAACTTATTCCCATTAACATTACCGTCATCATCACAGAGCTTAGCGTGCCATTTTGATACGTCCTCATTCAAAACGTCTTTAAAGTATTCTACACAAGATCTAGTTCCCCAATTATTGTTTAACAAATGGGCACAGTTATATTGCCTAACTATATTCATTAACATATTATATTATCCCAAGAGGAAGGAATCCCATTTGCCCGTCGATGAATTACATATATGGTAGCCGATGTTGCTGCAAAGATTTCAATCTTAATAAATATCTGAAACACTCTACTTTTTGTCTTACAAACACTGAAAACCGTCCCATATCCCGCATCATCCACAACAATCCAAATCCCTGGACTGCTCGGAATCTCCGACCAGACAGTGCGCAATTGGCTATGGAAAGCCAGACTTTTTGCCAGAAGACCAGTTCAACGTCACGTCGTTCCCTACATCAACGTGATCTTTGGAGCATGACAATACTCGACCTCACGTTGCACGTGTTTGACAGGTCTTCCTCCAGAAAAACAATGGTCAGTTACCATGGACTTCTTGATCACCGGATTTGTCCCCCATTGCACATCTATGGGATACTCTTGATCGACGCTTGCGCCAGCGTAATCCGCCACCTCAGACACTACAAGAACTGCAAGCAGCACTTCAGCAAGAGTATCAAAACATTCCTTAAGACAGTATTCGGCATCTCCTTTCTTCTATGGGTCACCGCTGCCAAGCTGTTATCAATGCTCATGGTGGTCACACCTGATACTGACATTTTACTCTGACCTCTGTGGTTTTACCAAACACTTTCTGGATAATCATGGTTTGGAAATTTGTAAAGTGATGATTTTACTGTAAATGAGCAATGGTGTCATGTTCGAATCAGTTATATGCACTCAGTAAGTAAACACACCACGCCTAACGTATGTTGTTTGGATAGGCATACATGATAAATATTGATGGACTCAAGTGGGAATGTGTGTATCACGGTATTCGGTCAAAATATGTTGTGAAGTGAAATAACTAATGCCACGTTTGGATTATGGCACAAGTGTAGTAGGGATTTTTGTAGAGTGCCGTCGAACTGAGATACCAAGCCGTAATATATGTGACCTGCGGGTGTTGTGCGCGTGCGCGTGAGAGGGTGGGCGTGCGTGCGAGTGTGTGTGCGTGCGTGCGCGCGCGTGTGTCTGCGATTGATATCTCACATATATGATACCTATAATAACGGGTACTTTTCGTTCGCTTTTAATTTTTGTAAATGGTGTATAATTGTATGAATGATTTGAATGAAGGGTATTCAACCAAAAAAACACACGATAACATCAAATCATAAAATGAGACATTTCCTTCCTTGATTTGCATAGTGGTAAAATGGTTTTAAAAAGTAACCGTGTTTGTATTTTTGTACGAAGAATGTTTCATGGACCAGACCGGTTATCTCGTCCGGTCGGCAATAAGTAACTTTTAGTCTCTGACCTATCCATACTTTTCTCTTTCTCAGTTCTAAATCAATATTCGCACAAAGTCATTCACCCATTACGTTAGAATTTAGGGAATTTAGAAATATTGGCCTACTTAGATATTAGAGATATTTTTTACTCTTTCCTTACAAATGTTATGTTTATTCGTGAAACACACGGACTTCCGGGGACAGAGAGTAGTAATGTGTCGATGTTATGATTGTAAGATTTTTGTATATAAAATATGAATTTAGGTCCTTCAAACTCCTACGGCAACGGTCTTTTATATGCAGGATGGAATCAAGACCAGGGTATGGATTTCATTATTGCTCAGCTTGTGTGTTTATATCAATATCAGCATAAATATTTGGTAGGAGGAGTTAATAGCGGAGTGAGGGTCAACATCAACAGCTGAACAAATGAAGACCCCTCCCCTTTTCTAAATGCGCTCGTCTTAAACATTTCAGTTTTATGTCCGATATACTTATTTTCTTCTTGTTTTTTAAACGCGGCCACTGCGAAAATACAATGACTGATTAGTGTCCATTTAGTCATCTTTGTGTTAACTGTCAATATTCTGAATTCTTTCAGATTAATCTGTAGTCTAGACTCCGACAGAAACTGTTGAAAAAATGGGAGATATCAATCGGCGTGAATATGGGAACCCTCTTAATCAATGCTATCAAATCAGTCAGCTGTTGTTAAGTAATTTTGAATTATCATCATATCACATAATGCTGCTTATTCAGATGTTTAAACGCACATTATTATTAGTAGTGTATAGATACCAGCTCTGATTTTTCCATTCAAATAAGGTGTGTTGAACATTTTATGATTCTGTGAATTATTCCACAACATCCGGGTCGAACATGTATAGAGGATTATATGTTACTTAATTATCCATGTTATACACAATGTGTTTACTTTCATTGCAAATATCCAGTATTTATGATCGATCGTGAATAAACAGTCATCTGTAAAAAAGTATTGCCTACCAAGATAGCATTCGGACGTTGGCCCAATGTTGGCAATGTTGGCAAAACCATTGCCAACGTTGGGCCAACGTCTGAATGCTATCTGGGTACTTATTTATGATGGAGATTTCCTTGTTTCTCCCTTCGGAGAAGTTCGGCACACACTCGATAATTCTTGGCATTGTGTATTTCCTGTAGACGATATGTGTCAAACAAAACCAAGTGTGTGGATGATGCACTTTTGTGGGCTGATGACTTTGAGAAATCCTTCTTCCAGGCATGTAATTGGCTTGACATATGTGGAAGGAATGGCATTACTTTAAACCCTGAAAAGTTCACCTTTGCACAAAACACCGTGGAGTTTGCAGGCTTTGAGATTACTTGTACCAGTGTTTGACCTTACTCAAAGTACCTACAAGCCATCATGGACTACACCAAAGAACATTACAGACATGTGTTCTTGGTTTGGACTCATCAATCAAGTGTCATAGGCATTCAGCAGGGGGCTGAGAGGATGCAGTCATTTTGCCAACTCCTAAAGCCCTGGACACCATTTCTTTGGGTTGACAATCTGGACCACAACAGACTGGATTTTTGGCTCTTCCAGAAGCACTGTCAATGCCTGAAGACCCTGCCATTTTGCTGTCAAGATGGGTGGAAAGTCACTCTGGTTGGACGTTGTTTCACCCACGCTGCAGAATCACGCTATGCACTGATTGAGGGGGAAGGACCATCAGTGGTTGATGCCCAGTCGTTGTCCTTGGATGTGGTGATTTGACCTTTGCAGTTGACCACAAACCTCTTCTGAAGATCTTTGGGGATCGATCACTTGAAGTTGAATGCATCTCGAATGTTCAGTTGTCTGAAGGAAAACACCCAACGCTACAAATTCCACATGGTTCACATCCGTGGAGCGAAACACAGAGCTGCTGATGCTGTATCTTGTCACCCAACTGGTAACCCTGAGAGCATAATCCTAATGGATGATGTTGCAACCATGGACTGTCCTGAACTTTCCACTTCTCTGGATGTTTGTCATAACATCCTTGCTTCCATCAGATGCAGCGAAGAGTCTGACCACAGTGAAGAGGATGCCACTCTCCAGTCTGCTGCGTCTGCAATCAGCTCCTTGGAACCCATCACATGGAACAAGGTGAAAGTAGCCACCACTAGTGATGTGTCCATGGCCAAACTCATTGACATTATTGAGACTGGGATGCCAGAATCTCGCCTTGACCTTCCTACTGCACTACGTGAATATCATCAGTTAAGAGAGCATCTCCACACACACATTGTCACATTTGGCATACCTGATGAACTTTCCTCTGATAGGGGACCCGAATTTACAGCCTCTGCAACCAGAGAGTTCCTTCGCACATGGTCAGTACATCATCTCTTATCTTCTGTCGCCTTCCCCCACAGCAACTGCAGAGCAGAAATTGGTGTGATCACTGGGGCGGTGGGGTAGCCTAATGGTTAAAGCGTTGGCTCGTCACGACGAAGACCCGGGTTCGAATCCCCACATTGGCACAATGTGTGAAGCTCATTTCTGGTGTCCCCCGCCGTGATGTTGCTGGAATATTGCTAAAAGCGGCGTAAAACCAAACTCAGTCAGTGGTGTGATCACTTACATGCATGATCACTGACAGCACTGGACCTCGGGGCGAACTTGACACCGGTGCTTTCCAGCGGGCAATGCTTCAGTACAGGAACACCCCCAGACAGAGACACAAAGTTATCTCCTGCTATTTGTGTTTTTGGCAGAGCCATAAAGGACTTCATCCCCATCCTACCGGTGCAAACCTCATGAGATATGGAGCGATATGTTATTACTGAGGGAGGAGGCACCCAGAAACCAACATGAAGAACAGCTCCCACCCCACGCAGTTGGTGACTTTGTCAGAATCCAGAACCAGACAGGGCCTCACCCACTCAAATGGGACAAAACAGGATGTGTGGTCGAAGTTCGTCAGTTCGACCAGTATGTTGTACGGGTAGATGGATCAGGTAGAGTGACCCTACCCAATAGGATGTTTCTGAGGAAGTACATCCCTGCTTTCCAACCTCCAACTGGATGTTCAGTTGCTGATGACTTGCCAAGGCCACAAACATCTACCCGTGATGCTACCACCACCTCCATCCTACATCCATCTCCAGCTCAGTCAACGTCAAAACACCCACAACATTCTCTACCGGCGACGGATGACACACTCCGCATCAACACCCGATGCCGTCCAAACCAGCTGCTACACCTGACATCTCACTATCTCCGCCACCCTCACCTGATAGATCCCGTCCACTCTGTCCTGTGATCAGAGAACCCACTGTCCTGACAGAGCCACCAAGCATTGATCCTCCTTTACCGACTTCCACAGAAGGCACAAGTGTGAATGTGATTCATTCATGACTTTCTACTCACATATAGGGACCCAGGTGCTCTCACAACCGTCCTAAAGGGCGAAGGAGAGAAACTAACTACTTTTGAATTTAATAACTACCCTTTTGCTCTTCATAGACGTGTAAAGGAATGGGTAAAAAGGTATTCGCAAGTCATGTCTGGTAAATCAAGTGATTGCATGATAACGGTGTGTTAACTACTGCTGCCGATGTTCATAATTCCAGCGAATTGCCAAGCCTTTTACGAGGGCAGGTCGCTGTTCCAGTGATGAACTCCGTCTCAAATAAGTATAGATTGTCGTCAACGGAGCTGTCCTCATCGCAGACGAAGAAGACGAGATCTTCTTCAGCGCAGAAGAAGAAGTCTACAGCTCCTAAGACTTCGTCGAAGTCTCTTCACAGCTCTACGCAGAAGAAGAGATCCTTCACTGCCGATATTGTACCTCCTGAAGAAGCAGACGTGTATGATGATCCCCCCATCCTCATACCTGAAGACACAGTCGTCAGCAAGAAGATGAAGCCTGCTTCAACAGCTACATCGGCAACTATATCAGCGCAGACATTGACAGAAGACCTATCAACGCAGACATCGGGTACCAGAGATAGCAGCAGCGTCAACTCTTCACAAGTGCAGCGTAGCTTAGAAGAGGCCTCAACGTTCTCAGAAGCATCATCAACAACCCTGCAGCAGTCTCAACTTACGTCGCAGAACTTCAACCCGGGGCTGTTTATGCAACAGTTTACAGATCAGATGATGTCAATGATGGAACCTTGCTTCACGCAGGAGGAAGCTGCTACGAAGACCACTACAACGTCTACAAACATGCGCAAAGGTTCAGCAGCATCTCCAACGCACCTGGATGAAGAGGAAAGCCTTCGCGAAGGCCCACGCACCTGACGATCTTCAACGTCTGAAGCTAGAAATCTGGACAACGCTGCCAACGTCAGCTCAGCCTTAGACGTCCCCGAAGATATGGATCGTCATCACCATCGAACTTAGACTCACATCGAGAACCTGCGCACAGGCACTCCACATCTCACAGAGGGGAGATTACATCAATCAGCCTTCGTGAAGCCCTCGAGAGATATCTCAAGACTCCAGGAGGCAGAGGTACAGATAAGTTGCATATCTGCGTAAATTACGCAAATATTTATGTAAAAACTCAATTCCTATTAAGTCTATTGCATGCAAGTACGCTTGAATTTTTGTAAATAGCCAATAAATGTGATCTTACATGCGTGCACACAAAAATGTCAAATCTTAGCTTGCGTACATGTGGATAGATAAAATAACTTATGTATGTTGAGAGGTTCTATTTCAGGACAGGAAGTTTGCAACTTGCAGTCTTTCTGATCGTTTCTCATATTACAGATCAAATATAAATATCAAACACAAACAACTTTATTATATTTTTACAATTAATGGAAAATGTCAAAATACCCAATTGAGTTTGAGTGAGGTGAGTACAATTGGTTTGGTTACTCAAAGCAAAATTAGGATACCCATTTGAGACAAACACAAGAGAGTACATAACTCAATGACCCAAAAAGTTATCTGTAGCTCTGCCAGGAGGAATACATGGTTCACCTGCACGCAGCTCTACATACAGATCTACATACAGAGTCATTACTCACGTCATTATGGATCTTCAGATAGGGAAATGTCCAACTTCACCGTCTGAAGTTAGAAGTCTGGAGAACTCTACTAACGTCAGCTCAGCATAACAGACCCCTCCGATGACAGTCGCCCTGCTTGAAGGAAAATTAGCTATGCAAGCTCTCTCGGATGAAGGCCTGCACGAACGGTTACGTTCACGAAGATCTTTACCGTCAGAAGTATCAGCAGTTAGAAGCCTGGAAGATTCAACGAAAGCAGGCTTAGCGTTAGCAGTCCACAATGGAGCCTCCACACAGTTTCAGCGTCTCAGCATGAAGGATTC